TGTTGCAGCATCGGCATCAGCAGCGGCAGCAGCAGCCGGAGACTGGACCCAATAGCGGCGATCAGGTGAGTGGTGGGGTACTTGTTGATGAGAGTGGGGGGGTCGGTTCGTTTGGTACATACATACCTCGGCGCCGGTGGTAGTAGCCCCCCCCCTCTCGCCGGTTCTCTCCACGTGCTCGTACACCCGGAGAATTTTCGCAACCGCGGCGGCAGCAGCAGCAGCAGCAGCAGCAGCAGCAGCAGCGGCGGCGGCGGCCGGAAACTGGCCCAGCTACTGCTGCGGGTGCGAAAACTCACCACTCCCGTAACCGCCAGCAAGTCCTCCATCGCTGCAAACCCACAGGAGAGGAGCCACCGCGATAGCCTACTTGTACGTCATCGCCCGTCGCGCACCCCGGCTGCTGCTGAGAAGAAACGAAAACGCATGGCCTCCTTCAGGCTGCTGCGGGAACAAAGATTAAGAATCCCCGCTGAAGCCACCGCCAGGAAGCTGTTGCTGCGTGTGCAAAATGTCCGCCGGCCGCCGTCGGCAGGAACGACACCGCCGTAGACGAGGGGGACGCTGTCGGGGGGGGGGGGCGCGGAGTGGCGAGTGAAGGCATCCCAGCAGTGGCAACGGAGTGGCGTGAGGGTGGCGTGGAGGTCGCTGACGCCCCTGACTGCCGCTGGAGCAGCTGCTGCTGCGGCGTGTGTGGCATGTGGCGAAACTGCTGGGGCACGGGTTGTTGCTGCTGCCTTGATTGCTGTGGCATGAACCTTTGCGGCGCGGGTTGTTGTTGTTGCTGCTGCTGCTGCTGCTGCTGCTGCTGCTGCTGCTGCTGCTGCTGCTGGTTGAACTTGGGGTACCCCCGAACATGGGACTACTGTACCTCCGCACGAGCGGTACGCTGCCAAGCAGATGTTGGAGTCATCCCGCACCAAGTACACTGATACACCTCGCACATCTGCTGCTCCCTGCGGAATGGGAGAGATTTCGGTTGCGGCCAAGTCGCGTTTCTCCTGCTGGGATCCGTTGGACCAACGGGCGCATACCTTCTGGGTGGGAACGTGGTGGTCTGCTTGCTGCTGCCCTGGGTGGAAGTTTTCCGGACGATCGTGCGCCTGACGCTGCTTGTGCTGGTACGAATGCTGCTGCTGCTGCTGCTGCTGCTGCTGCTGCTGGCGGTATCCTCCTTCCCCAGGAGGCTGACCGACTGGGCCACCTCGACCCTGCTGCTGATGGCCGCGAGAGAATCCGCCTTGTCTCCCGCCCGCGCTGTCATCGGGACCACCGCCATTGTTCCTCCGAAATTTACCGCCACCGCCGCCGAAACGAAGAGCGTGTGCATCGACAGACACAGCGGGCTGCCCTACTGCGTTGCCGAGGTCGCTCTCGCCGTGCGCGCAGTAGACGATGTCCTCGAGCAATTCGCGATTCATCCCCGCGGTCATGAGAGTAGACTTACACTTCTCCGTGTCGCATGTCCGAGGAGAGGTTGCGGTGGATAGCCAAATATTTTCCGATTCCAAAAGGTCGGCTTCCGCAGCAAGAGGATGTTGTTCAACGCAAACGAACTAGTGGAGCAGGTCTTGTCCAACGCGCATCTTGAGCTGGAACAATGATTGCCTGAGAGCCTCCCTCCCAGCGTGGTCAGACGGCAGACAGCAGCGAGTCGCCTCGCGCCAGGCTCCTTCCACAGACCCAATCGTACGCAGCTTCGTCTTGAATTTTGCATCTTCCATCGACTCCATCATCACGATGCTGAGGGCACGTTTGTGGTGGTCGACCCAAGCCTACGCCGTGTCGATTGATCAGCTCCCTCCTGGAGGGACCGTATAGCAGCCGCACAGGATACCTTGACTCCTGTATGCATAGGGGGTGAAATGCAAGTATTTGGTTCCGTGACATTTAAGCCGTCGAGGTAGCCAACCTCGCTGGCCGAACGTTTCATAGGGGTAGACCCCACTTACCCTCCAGTTGAATCAGCCGTAGGATCGCTCGCGGTGCAATACGTACCTGTGCGTGTAGTTCGTACACCTGTGCCTGGTAACACAAGCGGTTTGATACCTTTCGTTCGGTGCCATTTGAGTCGTCGAGGCAACCTCGCTGGATAGCTTTCAAGAGCTATTGAACGTGGTTGTCTCGACGGCTCAAATGGTACGGCGAGCCTTTTGCTGGCTGGTCATATAATTTTCGAATAGCTGTCGATGTACGGCGAAGTTTTCGTCAATAACGGGGGGGGGAGGGGGAGAGGGCGTACTCTTATGTTTTGCATGCCTTAGCGGTTAGACCATTGACCACGCGTCTTCGAGAGGAGGGAGCGCTGTTCCCACAGGACCGATCGCCGATGGCCAATCGTTCCTTCCTTCTTTTCCAAACGGTGGCTCAAAAATGTCGCCCCTAGTCTCATCTATCCTATCGTAAACGGGTGGGGTTACTTTTCTTTTTCCAATGGGACTTGTTGCCATCCCCCCCGTAACATCTACCGCCGGACCTATCTCCGGCAACACCCCTCCACTAGCTGCGTGCCCAGCTTAACCACCTCTGGCCCTCCCAACATTAATCTCCAACGTCGCGATCCTATCCATCGTTATTTTGAGGTGTACCCCTCAACTCTTCCGCAGCCCTCGCCGCTATTGCTGCCCTCTCCGCGGCATGTTGTGTATCCGCGATCTGGTCGGGCCAACTCTTGATGGAGATATATATCGTGTTAGCTGCCTCCGTGCCTTCCCACGGAGGCTACCGCACCTTCCCACGGTATTACGGGTTGTTTCTGCGGACGAAGTTAACCCAGGACCGATGTATGCATAGCTGACATGAAACCTTGATCATTACACACCGTGCTCTTTCCACCACATACAAGTAAAGAGCATGATAAGTCGGAGAAGTTCAGTCAGTGTACATATGTGCGTGCTCTCTCTCAAGGGGCCCCGCGCTTGTACCCCCAACAGCGTACCCCCCACACACACTCTCCAGATCGGATCTTGTACCCAAGCACCACGAACAGTGTACCTAAACCGCAAACAATGTGTAGGTTGTATGAGTAAGGCACAAAGCAAGCACAGAAAGTAGGAGAGATATGCATACAGATACATATTGAAGCTGCACGCGTATTAGTATGTTGGGTGGGGGACGCTTGCCGTCAGAGGCACAATGTGTGTGTAGACTACAGGAGACTTAAAAGACAGAAACAATGAAGGCGAAACCGACAGTGCGGTCGAAAGAATCAAACACAGGCCACCGGCTTAATTGAGTGCATATGCCAACTGCACACGATATTATTGAACAAAAAGAAGTGTATGTCATTCTGTGTTTTTGCGACACAAAGATGGACAGACGTGGGTAGCTAATGTTTTCTCTTGGATCTTCCCCAGCAACGATCAACCCGTCTGATCAACCGTCTCCTCTTCTCCCCCGCTGGAATAACGGTCCTATGAAACAGGCGGCCACGCCCTCACCCCCGAGGCGCAGCGCCCTCCGGCGCTGGTGGCGATTATGCACGTTTGCGCGTGGCTGCTGATAGCGGCGGGGATGTTTCAGATCGTCATGTCCAAGTGTGCCGACTTCAGATATGTGAGTAGAAGACACGATTGAAGGAGGAAACGCGTGCCCTCTCGGGCTGTTGTTGATGTTATTGTTGTTGTTGTTGTAGCTCTTGTTGTTTAGCTGTTGTTGTCGTTGTAATTGTTGTAAGCGTCGTTGTCGTCGTCACCGTTGTTGTGCTCGTTCGCACCGCCTACGTCACGCTTACCCTTACGGACCACCATCTTCTTGGTGTTGCGTCTTGTTGCAGGAATCTGTTGTAGTGGTACACGAGGGGGGTGAAACGCTGGTGTTTGGTTCGGTGCAACAACGCATTTGACAATTTACAACAAATAATTGCTCCTCCAAATTGATGAATTTGATAATAATGCGTCGTCATCATAAAATCAAACGAACAGGCAGAAAAAAATTGCACGATCCCCTCCTTCCTACCGTCATCTTTCGAAACCGTGATGAACAGTTTAATCAACAGCGTGAGGAACATTGTCAGCAACATGCTCAACACGCATGTATCGCCATTCATTTCCGACAACAGCATAACGCTAACACCACACCACCACCAACGCTAACACCAACAACACTACCACTTACCACCGCCGCCATTACAAACACCAAAACCAACCAATGCCTACATGGAACTCCCCTTGACTTGGCAGCCCCTCCACTGGGTAGGCGTCTTGATGGTCCTCCTGGGACTGGTGACGGCGCTGGTGAGGGTGTACACGAACCGCTGCGGGACGAACCCGAAGTGGTCGGCAGGGATCGCCGTAGCGACCGTGGCGGCGTGTCTCTCGTCGTGGCTCCTGGCGGATGGTCCCCTCTACAAGGAGGTCAAGGTAAGTAGCGTGCACGTCCATGTGCGTATCGTACGCATTGAAATGTGATTCTTATCGAGTGCATGGGCAATGACTGCTACATAGGTCTTTGTCCATCTGTCTACAAGGAGGTAGGTCAACGTAAGTAGCGTGCACGTGCATGTGCGTATCGCACCCATGGAAACCGTATTCTTGTCGAGTGCATGGGTATCGACTGCTACGCAGGTCTTTGTTCATCTGTCTACAAGGATGTCAACGAAAGTAGCATGCACGTCGTATGCGTATCGTACGCATGTTCCTCTTTTTGTGTTGCCTATTTTCGCGGATGTGTGGCAAAGAGGGGCCGGCAAGGAAATATGTTGTCGGTACCACGGTGAATGAACGGGAAGCTTGTCAGTTTCCAGTTCCTTTCTGTTCTGCCACCGTTTTACCGCTGTCTCCCTGTCAGTCTATCTCATCTGTCTGTCTCTCTGTCTATCTGTCTATCGGTCTATCTGTCTCTCTCTCTCTCTCTCTCTCTGCCTTTCTGTCTCTCTGTCTGTCGGCCTCTCTGTCTATCTGCCTCTCTGTCTCTCTGTCTCTTTAACTCTCTGTCCGTCTGTCTGTTTGTTTTGTCTGCCTCTCTGTCTCTCTCTCTCTATGTATTCTCTGTCCCATCCGCACCCCTACGAACACATGCATCCACCGCAGACCGCCGAGGTTTGCACCGATGAAAACGTACGGGAACTGTGCGGATACGAAGACGTGGACGAAAATCTGTTGCCAGAGGACATCCCAGATCTCAACGTCTGCGTCTGCCGAGTGGCGTCAGGGGCCTGGTAAGAGGGAGCGCAAGCCAGACCCGCCGTGTTGGTCGTTACATAAATCTGGAGAGGTCATTAAAAGTAGTTTATTGTGTGAAGTAGACCCCGACGACTTCATGAAGGGTTGATTTGAAAACTTTGATGTTGTCTACTACATCGAGCACGGTGACATCGCCTTGGACGATGCCATCGGTCGGCCAAGGGTTTTCAACCAATCATGAGTTTCCTTTAAAAAACATTGGCCAATGAGCATTGACCACTCTTCATACTGCGGGCACTTTTCTAATGTACTTCCCAGGGTAACTCGCGTTACTCCCCCCGGATAGATAAAGCCTCCAGCAGTTTTTCTCCTCCACTCACTACTGTGTGCACTGGTTGGAAGTGAGACAAAAACATGGTAAATATGCAAACTGTATAAAAATATAAAACTCACCACCAATACTATAGAAGTAATACTTTTCGTCGGATTCCATCCTGTTGCCGGCCTGTTGTCGGTGGTTTCTTCGCAGCCATAATTTAATCCTTTGACGACCCGGTGCAGTTGGATTGAACTGCGCTCGGCGCTGATCTGACGTGGAATATATTACGCACACCTCGCTCTGTTCTGACCCAAAGTCATTTTGTTGACATAATTTGGGGAATGGACAAAAGTGGGTATACCCACGCCATTCCCGGACAGAAGTGGGTACTCGAAAATCCAGCTCGCGCGCACTCCATAGGCGACCCCCAAACGACTCAAAACCCCATTCTGACACCTGGGCGACACAGCCAGCGACCATACATAGCACGGGCATCGATTTTTTCACACTTTCAGGCACGTCTTTGGCCCTAATACCGCCGGGTCGCGCAAGGCCTCACCAGAGTGCCCACTTCTGTCGACATGGTGGTAGGTACAAGGCGTCCCTCCGGAGTGAGGTAAAGAGAGCACCGCGGCAAGGGGTGATGCAAAAACATGCAAAAAGCTACCAGCAGAGAAACGACAGCAGTACATACGTACGCATAGATAGCTTCGTATCAAAGGATTCGCGGAAGGTCGGCGCGAGCTCATACTATTTTCGACGGTTTTCTGGATTTTGTTTGGTTGAAAGCCTGCAGCCGCGCGGATGGATGTGTATATGTGCATGCCGACCTCCCGACCTCTGGCTCGGCAGTCTGCACGGAGATTTGTGCAGTCCGCACGGAGATGTGTGCACTGCTCTGCATCTCTGCTGACACCGCCACGAGCTTTTTCATCGATGTTCTCGAGAGATCCTCCTGGAGGATTTTTGCTGCAAAAAGAAGTAGTTTCTGGATTTTGGGGGTTGAAATCCCGCAGCCGATCGGATGGATACGTGGATATATGTGCATTGCGTGTGCCGGCGTTCTGCACGAGATGTGTGCACTGCTCAGCATCTCTGCTGACACTGCCACGACATATACATTGCTCGACTGCTGCTGGAAACTACGAACTTGGGGCTGACTCTGTGTGTAGTTCATTCAGCAGTCGGACTCAACCATCAGCAGAAGAAGGACGAATTGATTGAGCGGCGTCATCAAGCCGTGTTTTTCTGTTTTTCTCCACGCATACGCACACCCACCCACCCTCGGAAAGGGCAACGAAGAACAAACTATGTATACATGTGCGTTTCCAGCGTGCGAACAGTATGAGGTAGTGACAGTAGCATCGTGATGTCTCAAGAATCTGGTAGGGATGAGGCGAGATGAGACAGACAGCAGAGTCCAGAACATCTCCCCCGTATGACGACAGATATGACAGACCTGAACAGCAAAAAAAAAAAAACGAACTGAAATTGCTTCGGTTTGTACCGCCTTTACTTTCTGCGTGTACGCTGGGAACGCTACTGCTGCTGTATTCTCTTTTCCCCACACGTACCCGCTCGCTCCACAGCCGCTCAGATCTGACAGCTGCCGCGCCAACGCTCCGCTGATGTTGTTGGCATGTTGTGATGACACAGGGTTCAACATAAGACAGATCAGAAACAGCTTGTCACCGCGTAACGCCTACGTACGTTTTTGGTTGAAGCTGACGTCTTCTGCCGGGCTGTTCGACACAACAGCCCGACTCTACCCGACAGCTGACGCGACAGATGGACAGAATCAGTGCGTGGTCTTCTTACAGCCTCAGGAAAAATCTGGAGACCGTGAGGAAGACTTTACAAATCTGTCTATAGTCTTAGACCCAGCGGCGTCTACTAATTTTTTCAGGTATATACCGACTATGTCTGTATTTTGACCCACTTTTGTCCAAATTGTACCCACTTGTGTCCACTTACGGACGGCGGAAACCGAGCGGAAATTGGCCTCCACGTCGCCGCACGGCAGAACATCGAATAGCCTCGGAACGTCTCAGAACCTCCCAACACCGTATCCATGGCTGCCCTCTGCGGACCGACCGCGGAGGAACATGTCAGAAACATGCCAGACCCCTTCGGTACCGGCACGGGAAGATACCCGCAGCAAGTCCGGCAAGCAGGGCACTAACGGCACGCCACGCCACAAATAGATGCGAAACACACAACGGACAGCAAACCAACGGGTCGCACATACAGCAACAACACAGGCACACACGCGCGCCACACACAAAAAAAAACACCAATCAGCACGACGAGTGCACACCGACTCGTGAGGGCAGCAGCAGCATGCCGAGGCAGTTTGCCCTGCAGGGACGCCCGCGCAGGGTCAAAAGCGCGGGCGCACCTCTGTCAGCTGCTGGCAGCGCGATGGTTAAAGGGGCAACTGTTCGACGTCGCTCGACTTGAAACGGGCGTTCGAGCGCTGCATGGTCTCAAAGTCTAGGCAGTGCAGGCTGGACAAGAGGGTTAGTGGTGGTCGGGGCACGCTCCACCGCTGCACCGGATCCTTCATCGCCGGGAAGGCGACATCCGGCTGCCCGGGGCGTGCGCGGGGTTGCAAGCAGAATGATGGCACCTGGAAGGTGACGGAGGTGGTCCTGGACCGTGTGGCGTGCACCGGCCAGGCCAGCAACAAGAAGCAGCGGATCAATCGCCGATGTGTCGAGGAGGAAGCGGCGGCGCTCGTGAGTTCCAACCACAGCATCACCTGTCCGTCACTCGTCAAGACGCGGCATTTGTTGCATTTAGCCTGCCTGGTCCCCTTGCCGCCCCGGCCCTTATTGCGCGTTCCCTGGTTGAACTGTAGCCTGCCTGGGATGCTAAGGCGAGTGGCTGCATGCCGTGGGCTCCGGAACCGCCCCCTGCCCCAGCCATGCCTCCCCCGATGAGCGCGGGGTGGTGCTTTGGCAAGCCTGCTTGGAGCCGCGCCTCTTTCAGCTTCTTGAACCCAGCCTCACGGTCCACTGTCGGGTTCTTGTGAGCCGA